ACAACACAGTAATAGTATAAATGCACATAAGTAGGTGTCAGTGTCTGTAATTTATCTCATTAGTTTCAAAGTTGAATTTTGGTTTCCAACAGCAGACATGCTAAGTCCTTAGAATGCTGAAAGAATTAATATTTAGTGTACAGATTAGAAAAGGAACAGTTTTGCTGTTTAGAAGTTTGAATTCATAAGAGTATAAAATACATGACTTGAATACTTGGATTCAAATGCACTCAGTTTTCTCTTCCAAGTATTCAGATTCTATGTTCAAGTTGTTCTCTATGTATTCAGTTTTCTAAATCCATTTCCACAGATATGAATAATCTTATTTTTAGTTCACAGCATTCTGGGTTTCATCAGCAGAATACCATCTCTAAAAAAAGTCTTCCTAAGTCTAAACACAAATGCTGAAAATAAACTCAGTTCACTTTGCTGTCTGTACTAACTTGGCATTCTTGCCTGTTTTTCAACTTTATTTACTGCAATGTGTTTACAGATTTGAGTGCACAGGGCATTCAAGGAAGAGGAAGGCAGGGGGTTTTCTAAAAGCATTCTGTAAAGACACTTCCCAAACAAAACTTGAAGATTGCTTGTATACCGGTGCAAGCAGAGCTGTTTCAGCAGCACACTGACTGCCTCCAGCACCCAGGTGGGAGCTGCAGGGCAGCCCCTGGTCACCTTCATCCCCCGCACACCCTCACTCAGGAAAAGAACACCCCGATGGACTCATAGACTTGGGACATAGGGGGCTAAAATATATGAAAATGAAAAAAAGACAATGAGGACTTTCCAAATTATACCTGTGTCCCACAGAGCTTTGCAATGCCTAGTGAGAGGAAGAGGGCAGGTGGTCATTTCTCACCATTTTTCTTGGAGTCTGTCAGCCAGCTGATCTAAGACAACCTATGCTCAACTCTGCCTTTTTTTGGGTCTCAGCTTGCTCTTTTCACAGAGTATTTTGGCAATTGACTGATTTTCCCATTCATCCTAAAACATAGCAGAGGGCTCCTTGGAGTATGACATCAGATGGACTCGTGGTTTAGAAGTGAAAAGGGAGATAGACAATTTCATTTTTAGCACTGTTAAATTCTACATTCTTTATCGTAATTTTGGTTGAATTTTATTTTTCCTGTAGTTTTAAAAGTTATCTTCCAGAATTCTATAGTTACAGTTTCTCTCTCTTTTAAAATGATGCATTTACTCAAAAAGTAAATGCCCTTTGAACTAATAACTATAGTTTTCTATTAAATTTGTTTATGGACCACCCAAAAAATCCACGTGCATAGAAACTCTGGTACATCAATAGTAGGTAGAGATATTACTGGTGTGTATCCAAAAGTAATAACTCATATTGTGCAGGTTTCCCAAATCAAATACTCTTTGAAAGGGAATCAGGAAGTTATTTATTTTTTAAAAGCTTTTTTAGAAATAAACATTTTAATGCACATCATTCATTCCAAATACATACACTTATTTATTTTCTATTTTTTCAAAATGCCATTCTTCATCAAGAACTCTTGTTTCTGCTTATCAATTAATTATTTTACATGCAGCCAAAAGGAATGGATTTAGACAATACTTTGGTACATAACTGATGAACTCAGTTTTGCAGATGCCTTTAGGACAAGTAGCCAGACAAAGTTACTCCAACCTGAGGTTTTTTGTGAAAAGTCACCAAAGAACATGATGAATTACTGCCCATCAGCACTGAATGTTGGTTGATCTACTGAAGGAACAAATTAGCACCGCCTGCAGCTGCTGCCAGAACTCCGTACTTCTGTTTTTACCATGCTGCATTTTCATGTTTCTGACTCTAGTGTTCATTAATTTGAAGAGAGTTATATTATTCCAGCTGTGAAGTTTATAAAGTCATAGAAAATAACATTTTTCTAGCATCACCAAACCCCTTATCAATTCTTTGCAAGTTTCTCTCTCTTAAAATACAGCTATTGCAGAACAGCACAGAAACACTCTCTTGCAGCAGAGAACCATTTTATTTACTTATGTATTTATGCTTAAGCCCTATTGTTAGTAGTCATATAGAGAAAAAGACACATTTTTCTTTTTCCACTGAGTGTGACACAGGCCAACTGCAGTCCTTCAGAGGGGAACTAATCAAATTGGATCCAATGGGGCAAGGAAAAATAACATAGGCTACTCTACACCTTGGCCACTTTTCTTGGATAGGACAAAGAGGGCACTAAGGGGAGAAGAAATTTCTACTTTATGGCTGTTGGCTCAGTTTGGCCTGACTAGCGTTATTTAAAGCAGTTGCTCTGTATGAGCCAAGGAAAGTCCATTCATGTCAGTGGCAACTGGTGATTTTACAATGTAACAGACCAGATCCATATTTATTAATCTTCATTGGTCTCTCGTGTCCAAACAGTGGCTGCTCTCATTCTGCTCTGACACCTCACAGAAGTCAGTAGAAAACTCACTGTGGCTTTCCACTGTGGCAAAATGAGATTACTTTTCTCTCACTTCCACTAGCAAAGTAAAACCTGGGAGTTTTATTGCACTAATATAAGTGTGGAGAACGTGAATGAATTTTGTTAACAGCATAAGAATGAACTCAGACAATGATGTGTCTTTGATTCAGGGAGACAATCATTGTGTCATTGAGAGTGGGCAGACATTTTATTTGCCACCTGTGGCAAGATTTATTCTGAAGATTTAAGACACCTACCAGCACATGAGCATGCAGACACACACACAACACACAGCTGCCCACAGCTTCTAGTCTACTTGAATTGATTTTGCCCTTGGGCCTACAAACAATTCACCCCTGAGGGAATCAGTGTGCGTTATGCAGTTCTCAGAATTCGGCGTAAAAATACTTGTACTGCCATTACACAAGAACAAATATACCTCTGAGAAAGATGCAGACTGTCCTTGCAGGAGTAGATAAAGATGTGATCTTTCTCTCAACACCGTATCTACTTTTTCAGGATCATATACATCTAAATCAGTTGGAGCTTTTTCATTCCAGAAATGGGTGTCTCACAACCTGCCACGCAGCTGTTGTCGATTAATAACAATGGGATATTGTAATATAACTAATAGCCTATTTGTTCACATCCTGTTTTATTTTCACGCCTTGCTTTCAGGAAAACCAATAGGCAGCTGTTTTGTAACTTCAAACTGGTCCCTATTGATTTGCTACAGCATGTGTCTGGACACTGAAATGTGTCATGCATGCACACCAACACAAAAGAGACTCGCTGATGTTTCCAGCGTGTAACAATAATATATTGGATGGAATGGTTATGTAAATAGTAGTAATTATGCAGAAAACAGCCATGTTCCCTTGGTAATGGTACCTCATTAATTTTTGCTTGAACCACACTAAATTGTAGCAATAAATTCTGCTGTCAGGTTTGTGGTTGGGTTTTTTTGTTTGTTTGTTTGTCTTTCAGGAGCAAATTGTACTACAGAAGAGTAGGACAGGGACATTTCTGCAGGGTTGGAATCAACAAATTGTTCATCATATAAAACTGTGGTGGGAACAAGAAAGTAGTGTTAGCTTATACTAAAATCAGTGCTTTCAAACAGATATGGAGAAAGTCTCACTTTGACCACAAAAAAAAAAAAAAAAACGACACAAGAAGCAGTTCAGCGCTGTTGGAGCCCAGTCTCCAGTGTGGGTATTGGGTCTGCACTGTGAACTCACAGTCAAAAAAGACACAAGAGGACCTACTGATGAGAAAGAAAAAATATGGATGATGAGGAAACAGTTATTAGTGGGGGATCTGGAGGGAGGGGTGTTAGTAGAAGTAATACATTGTCAGACAGTCCTCTTAGGAGCCAGCTGTTGATGAAAAAAAAGCGTTCTTCACTTGTTGCTAAGCCTGTGTGTTTTGCAGCTGAAATTCAGCCATGACACAAATCACTGGCAGCCTTGGAAGTTGCTGGGGGATCCCTTCCATCTCCATATTGACCCTCTGCCCCTGAGCCTGAACTGAGCTCAGGATGCAATGCCTTTCCCTTGGAAAGGAAATGAGAGGAAATGCAGTGTCTCTGGGCCTTCAGCTGACTGTCAAATTTGGTGGAAACTGAACCACAAATGTGAAAGTTATTGAGATAAGCTGAAGGTAAACATATTCATTCAGCATGATAGAATGGGCTTAGTTTCTTAGGAAATCAAACTAATAAGTAAAAACTTTGATTATTGTCAACTTTCTGGTTCCCAGGGAAAGCTGATGATAGTGTCACCAAATTGATGGGCTCTGTGTAAAAGTCCACATTTATTCGAAGAAGCATAGAGTATTCCAAGTTGAAAGGGACCCACAAGGATCATGGAGTCCAACCCCTGGCTCCATGCAGCACCACCCAAAACCAAACCCAATGTCTGAGAGCACTGTCCAGACGCTCCTTGAACTCTGGCACTCCGGCCGTGCCCACAGCCCTGGGGAGGCTATCCCACTCAGCCTATCTTTGAAAGTCCAGGCTTTTAACACATACGTATCTTTCCATTGGAGAAATACTAAATAATCAGCCTTCCACTCTTCAAGATTCAGCATTGCTTATTTTTCTCATATGGATAACTATTCCAACTCACTAGGGAATAGAGTGACTGATATCAGGATAAGATGCTGTTGGCATCTTATTTGCTTGCATACTGTAGCTGGTGGAAATGTAGCTGTACATGGATAGCCTTCACAGTACCACCTGAGAGCAGGTGACTGTTGTCAGCAACTGCGAAATTGCGAGACCCCCCCGCGGGGTCTGATGTGCTAAGCTCCCTCCCTGCTCTAATGATTGATGTGTGATGTAGGCCCCTAGGGGCGTAGACGAAGTAATTAAGCTATATAAGGTAGTTAATACGGGTAATAAACGCCATTTTACTGCTCATCATATTGGTGTCACCTCAGTAATTGGCCAAGCTGCGGTCTCCTGGGGAAGCGGAACGGGCGCGGACTGTAACATGTGGTGACCCCGACGTGATCCCTGGGAGTGAGTCAGCTGTCTGCCGGAAGCAGGAGCCCACTGCAGTGGCGGTAAATTCAAATCTGCGGAATAGTGGAAGCCCGGGGACGGGGAGGAGGTGGCCATTACTCCTCGTCAGGCGGGAGGCTCGGGAAAAGGAGCCAAGATCCCCCTAGGACGCTAGGGGAAAGACGCCAGAAGAGGCCAGGTGTACGCTCGGCCGGAGGCGTTATGGAAGCCGTTATAAAGGTGATTTTACATGCATGCAAAATTTATTGCGGGAAAAATGTTCCTTCTAAGAAGGAGATTTCGGCAACGCTTTCGTTGCTGGAGAAGGAGGGGCTATTATCATCCCCTTCTGACTTATATGATTCTGATAAATGGGATTCGTTTACTGCCGCTCTCTCACAGAGGGCAATGCTTACTCAGAAAGCAGCAGAGTTTAAGGTGTGGGGATTGATTTTAATAGCTCTTAAGAAAGCGAAGGAGGAGAAGATCGCAGGTGACCGTGCTAAGGAGCTGCTGGGGTTAGGGCCAGGGGGGGGTCTTGTCTCCCCTACAGATTCGCCGGAGGGCAAGATGGCGCTGACTCCTTCGGCCCCACCAGAAACAACAACCCTGGAGATAAAGAAGAACGAAGTGAAGCAGGAGCGGTCATACCATAAAGAGGAGGACCCACCTCCGTACCCGGCTCGCAGCATATATCCTTCACTTAAGCCCTGTAAAGATAACGGGGAAGGGGGGCCGGTGGAGGAAAGCAGTACAACTTCTAGCACAGTTGATAAGAGGGTCCTTGAGAAAGGAGAGATGTCTGGGGGAGCTGTGATACCACCTGTGGAATGCGACAGTGGGGGCGGGACTCAGCTACTGTCCGATTCTGCCTGCTGCTGCAGCCACCCCCCACGGGGCGTGGATTGTCCCGCACAGCGTTGCTGTGGGGGGGGCGTTCCGACGGAGATGGCCTCAGGGTCTGCCCAGGAGGGGCGTGGTCCCGTATCGACAGCTTCATGGGGCCCGCCTACCCTCGCTGACTGGGCTCGAGTGAGGGAGGACATACGGGCTGCAGATCCAGCAGGTGTCGCTCTCACTTTGCCAGTGGTGATGAGACCAGAGGGTCCAGCTTGGATTCCTCTGGATTCCAAAGCGGTTACTCGTCTTGCGGATTTAGTTAAGAGCAAAGGCCTGCGTTCCCCTGTCACTATGGCAGCAGTGGAAGCTCTTATGGCTTCTAGTCTTTTGCCATATGATGTGGTGAACCTTATGCATGTTATTCTTGAGCCCGTACAATACACCCTGTGGCATGATGAATGGGATAGATTACTTGAAGCTGTGGTGGCTGCTGCCACCCGTGACCCCCGCCATCCAGCCAACGGCCAGCGCAGAGGCGATAGAACTAATCTTGCACGTCTCCAGGGCCGGGCAGATGGAATGGTGGGATCCCCGGAGGGCCAAGCAGCGATGCTCAGAGCAGGAGAGCTGGCAGCCGTTACAGCTGCAGCTCTTCAAGCCCTGCGAGAATTAGCTAAGGTTGCGGAACCTGTGCTTCCGTGGGCAGATATAAAGCAGGGCCCCTCTGAGTCATTTTCTGATTTTGCGAATCGTCTAATTCATGCAGTGGAGGGATCTGATCTCCCAAGGGAGGTCCAATCCGCAGTCATAATGGAATGTCTTAAGCAGAAATCATTGCCAGACGTCCAACAAATCATCAGAGCAGCACCGGGCACCCTAACTTCCCCAGGGGAGCTTATTAAGTATGTGTTAGATCATCAAAAGGTCGCACCTTTAACTAATGAGGGATTAGCAGCTGCCATGCAAGGAATGGCTACTTCGGTTAATTCTGCAGTTAAGACCGCGATAATGGCAGTCACTCAGGCTGGGGGAGGAAGGGATAAAGGCCCGTGTTTTAAATGTGGGCAACGTGGCCATTTCAAGGCGCAGTGCCCTATGAGGATGGGGCAAGGACTAGAGAAGCGGTGCCAATTCTGTGGCGGAGCCGGACATGTCGCACGTCAGTGTAAGAAAATTAAAAGTATGCTACAGGGAAACGGGAGAGGGAGGGTGCCGATGGCCCAGGACCCCTTCCCGTCATCTCTAGCTGGGCCAAAAGCACAACACCCACAGTGGCACTAACTATGGATTTAGAGGAACGACCAATCGTTACGGTTAAGATGTCATACGTGGATTCAGATCTTCCACCATCAGTGCCCAGAACAGTAATTTTTATAGCTCTGCTTGATTCTGGTGCAGATATTACTGTTATCTCAGAAGATGACTGGCCTCGGCAGTGGCCTGCGACTTTTATGTGGAGAGCGATCGTGGGTGTGGGGGGCGATGTGCCCACCAGAAAGGCGGACAGGGTAGTAGAGCTCGCGATCATCAATGATGATGGTACCATGGAGAAAAATGTACTTATCCTCCCTACTTTAGCACCGATAGGAGGATCCATACTAGGCAGGGACTTTCTTTTTGAACTGGGAATAAAACTGACAAATTTATGATAAGGGCCACTGTCCATCATTTAGCGCTGCAATATGCGATTCCGTTGCGTTGGAAACGGGACGTGTCTCCCGTTTGGGTGGATCAGTGGCCCCTTCCTATTGATAAATTAGCAGCGCTTGTGCAGATTGTTTCACGAGAGCTTGCTGCAGGACATGTAGAACCGTCACTCAGCAGCTGGAATACACCTGTTTTTGTAATTCGGAAAGCATCAGGGTCTTTCCGACTGTTACATGATCTCCGAGCAGTCAATGCACAACTTATCCCTTTTGGCCCGGTTCAGCAAGGGGGACCTCTACTTTCGGCTATACCGGAAGGATGGCCCCTGATGGTCATTGACCTTAAAGATTGCTTTTTTTCAATTCCATTAGCGGAGCAGGACAGAGAGGCTTTTGCATTCACTGTCCCGGTCCTGAACAATCAGGGACCTGCTCAAAGATTTCAGTGGAAGGTTCTTCCGCAAGGAATGACCTGCTCTCCAATAATTTGTCAACTAGTAGTAGGCAAAGTTATAGAACCTGTAAGACAGTCACTATCGAACTGTCAGCTAGCTCATTATATGGACGACCTGTTGCTTGCAGCGCCAGATGATTCTCAGCTGCAAGTGCTAGAAGAGCAGATAGTTAATGTGCTTACTACTGCTGGATTTGTTATTTCACAAGAAAAAATTCAGAGAGAACCAGGAATTGAGTTCCTGGGATACAGGTTTGGATCTGAAACGGTGATCCCAGAAGGATTAAAAATTAAACCCCATATTAGAACCCTGTGGGATGTTCAGAAACTAGTGGGGGCCATGCAATGGGTGCGAAATGCATTAGGTATACCTCCACGGCTTATGAAACCCTTTTATGATCAACTAAAGGGATCTAATCCTCAGGAAGAGAGACGGTGGACACCAGAGATGGAGTCTGCTTGGCAAGAAATACTAGTAACCTGTTCCTCCAATGCGCTTGCGAGGTGGAATTCAGACCGACCACTAGAAGGCGCAGTGACTAGGTGCCAGGAGGGGTCTACAGCTGTGATAGGACATACCCTTAGCTCTCGACCTCGCCCATTGTACTGGCTATTTTCTGTTCAGCCAACAAAAGCATTTACCTCGTGGTTAGAACAACTTTCGTTTTTGTTACGTAAAGCCCGTCTTACTGCAATAAGGGCCTTTGGAAAGGACCTTGATATTATATATCTACCAGGAACCTTTCGGAATGTTCAGCCTTTGCCAGAGGAGGTTTTCCTTGTTCTCTATGATTTCAGTGGTAATCTTAGCTACACAGACTCACTGCCTATTTTTGATCTAGCAAGGCCTCTCCAGATATCACTGCAGTGTAGAGTACTGGATACCCCTGTGGACGGCCCAACGATTTTTACTGATGCTTCTTCAGCTACTAAACAAGGAGTAGCTGTCTGGCAAGCTCAGGATGGTAAATGGGAGTCTAAGGTGATAATTGATTGTTCAGCAAGTGTTCAAATGCTTGAGGCCAGAGCTGTGGCAGTTGCATTGCGCCTTTGGCCTCAGACACCCTGTAACATCGTGACTGATTCTGCATTCGTGGCTAAAATGTTACTGCGTATGGGCAAAGAGGGACAGCCCAATACAGTAACTGCAGCCCTATTGGAAGATGCCTTAGTGGTTAGGTCAGAGCCTGTTGCTATCCTTCACGTCCGTAGCCATTCTGAAGTTCCAGGATTTTTTACAAAAGGAAATGACATAGCTGATCGAGTGGCTAAGAAGCAGGTGTATACCCTGCAAGAGGCTCGAGATCTTCATTCTACATTACACATAGGGGCAAAAGCATTAGCTCGAACATGTTCCATTCCTGTTACAGTTGCTAGGGAAATTGTGCAGATGTGTCCATATTGCAATTCTGCACCGGCGTTAGGGGCAGGGGTTAATCCCCGTGGTCTCACCCCATTGGATATTTGGCAGACAGACTTTGCGATGGAACCGCGAATGGCACCAAGACAATGGCTCGCAGTGACAGTTGATACGTCCTCTACAGTCATTATTGCTACACAGCACAGCCGTACTAGTTCTACAGCGGCACAACATCATTGGGCCACAGCCATAGCGGTTCTAGGAATGCCACGCCACATAAAAACAGATAATGGCTCTTGTTTTACGTCACGTTCGTCTAAAGAGTGGTTAGCTCGTTGGAATATCTCACATACTACAGGAATTTCAGGCAACTCACAAGGTCAAGCTATTGTTGAAAGAGCTAACCGCCTCCTCAGAGAGAAAATTCGTGTCCTGGGTGAGGGGGAAGGACATACAGGAAGAATTCCAGTATCAGAACAAGGGGAAATTTTGGCGCGAGCATTATATGCATTGAATCATTTTGAGCGTGGGGATAACACAAGAACCCCGATACAAAAGCATTGGCAGCCAAGAATTATTGAGGAAGGGCCACCGGTTAAGATCAAGGTGGATAGTGGTATTTGGGAATCAGGCTGGTCTATTTTGGTATGGGGAAGAGGCTATGCTGCAGTAAAAAATAAGAGTTCTGGAAAAATTTTGTGGGTCCCTTCCAGGAAAGTTAAACCTGATGTAAGTGGGACATGATGGAGAAAGCAGAGAAGTAATCAAGAACTAAGTGCTTTGTTTTCAGGCATTGCTGTTTGGAACTCGTCAAGAGAAAACATCAAACCCACGACCGAAGCCAAAGCCCGACTCAGGAAAGGAGGCAGATAAAGAGCCACTGATAACGTCGAGATCAATCTCTCCTGTGTTGTTATCTGTGTGTCTTTTGCTATTTACAGCTATTTCTCCTGGAGAGGGCATAACAGACAGCGACCTATGGCATGGTCATGAAGAATATACAGGAATGATGGGACCAGTGAACAACTTAACTTTGCTGACCGTAGTGTTACGTGAAAATAGACCATATGACAGAAGTGAATGGGGATGGGATAATGTCACCAGATCTCCACGAATTTGGGGTAAACTTGGGCAAAACATAGAAGTAAAATGTTGGATGGTAAATGGATCTCAATACAAGAAGGCTACTCAAATTTCAAAAACAGATATTATATCAGGCGTAAGGGATCGCAAATCCTGTGTTACTGAACAGGGAGATTGTCAGTATAATTTCACCCTAACCCAACCTGTAATGATAACATGCCTTTGGACACAAGACACCCTAGGACGATCTTTTAAATTTAAGGTGGATCTCTTTAATCAACATACAACTGATGTCCCATATATAACTTCCACTAGGAGACTGAAGGGTGTTATCTCTCCACAAATTTATCAAATTGGACCGTACGCTATAAAGAATACAGGTCAGCAACAGGTAATCTTTAATCCAACATGGTCCCTTAAACGAGTGATGTTATTATTGCAAACTAATGTTTCAGCTATCAAACCAGATTGTGCATTGTTTTTAGGCATGTCATATGCTGGATGGTCAGCATGGCTTCATCGACAGTCATTTGATACAACTAGAAGAATAAGAAGAGATGTTTCCGGTATTCTGGGAACAGGTTTAGGAGTCTTAAATGGTGTAGACACTGAAATACTCATGAGTAAATTGAATACCATTACAAGTAACATACATAAACTACAACATCCTCTACAGTCATCCCTATCGGCTCTAGGAACAAGTCAATGGCTTTTATCAGATGTATTACCGCAATGGGAAAGGATAGATAGAAAAGATCATCAGCTGATTATGGATGCGCTTTCAGCAGTCCAAGGTAACACCTCTTTAGCCCTCAGTTGCATCCAGGCCCAGATGTGGATGCAATTTATAGCAGCAACAATCGTGAGAGAAGGTGAGGATGGCACTATACCCACTGAAATTAGAAAAGTAATTTGGGACAATGCAAATAGATTTGAAAGGAAGTTTCAATCATGGTGGCATTTAGTTAACTTCACCTATGACCCTGTCACCAATTATGCCATGGCTTTCGTTTTGACGATAAGTAATGCTTCAGCATACACGATATATCCAATCGTAGCTCTAGGATTAAATCATGATGAGACTACTCTGTATCCAATTGAACATCGGATATGGGCTCTTCAAAAGAATGAGAGATGGCAAACTGTGGACGTTAGCTCATGTGCCATGCGAGAACAACGAGGATTTATTTGTGAAAGTAATATATTTGAGACTCAAGATATCTGTCTTGACACTGAACAAAATATTTGT